TCTCGGTGGGACCTAACGTTTACTTTCACTGACAGTTTGTTTGGTCCGTGAACGCAGCATGGTCGCTCAGCTCTTTGTCCATTTTAAGATCCGTTGCAAATATATCATTTCAAAGCACAGTAATTACGCAATTAATGCAAATAGGTATATTTATGTTACGCTGGCTTTAATTTAGTTTTTATAACTCTTTTTAAAATTTCAGATGAAAATCCACAGTTTTCTCTCACCGGAAGTAGTTCAACTTCCGGTTTCTGAGACGGAAGAGAAGAGACGGCGAACCTTCACGCTGCTGTCGTCAACTTGTGGAGATCGTGAATGTTATATAATTTAGGATTTTCGAAAGACTATAGAGTACTAAACAAAGTTGTCCGCTGTGTCCTCTCGGGTCCGGACTCCATGATGTTTAACCGACAGAACAGCCTGTGGATGGGTGACGTAAGCAGAAAGCCTTCATTTCGTCTCTCTGGGACTTTAGCTTGGCTACGCGCGTTGGCCGGATGTAACACCCCGTCATTTTAGCCCAAAATAAACCCTTATTCTGTCTCCTTAATTTGGTTTACTTTTGTAGAAACATTATAGATAAAAGACAAATAACATGTATTCCGTCAGTGGTTTACAAAGTCACGTATTTCAAAATATTAGTGGATGTTAGCTAGCAGGTTAGCTAAACCAGCTACTGTGTCCAGGATAGTTCAAGTAAATCACGGACTTTTGGGATTTCAACTAGGTGTATTGAACACGTGGACATGGTAGTTTGCAATTAGTTAAACGCTTAGTGTGATCTTAACAGACAGTAGTCACTAAACTAACTATGAAACACTAAAATCCCTCTGGGATAATTAAAGTATTTCTGATTCTGATTCTAAAATGTAACAAAAAGGCCATTGCAAATTCCCAGTTTACCCATTAAGTGCCTTAAGAACTCTTAAAAAGGTTTCTCCTGCAAATGTTCTTAAAACATTTTATGTTTTTATATGCCATTTTATCAGCCATTGACACTGATGACTGTACTTTATATATTTTGTTCAATTTATAAGCGACATATACTGAAAAGGTGTCACAAACATTGGCTAATAAAGCTCCTTTTAGAGTTTCAATATTCTAACAGCAGAAATAATGCTGTTCTGTGCAATGTAACATATTTAACTTTATCTTAATATCTTTTTTTAGATGTAAAAAAAACAAGTATTCTTCATTTGCTTTCAGCTGGACCCGTACATGGACGAGAACTTCGTCAAGCAGGCCTTCAGCGCCATGGGAGAGTCACCGTTTGGAGTTAAGATCATCACTCACCGGATAACAGGGTATGGATTACACGGGGGCTGGTCCCTGAACGCTGCATACATGTCATCACATGCCAGAGCAGAGGAACCTTGTTTGCTATTTGTAGCTTGTTGTTTGCGTTCCCATTTAAATTTTCAAATAAAAATCAGCCTTTAAAGTCCTGTCTTTGTCCATCTGAGTGTTCTGATCTGCTGACCTGTGTTTTTACCATGATTCACACACCTCTGGCTGTAGCGTTGTCTTCATTTCTCCCGTCTTCTACAGCAGAAGAGCTGTTTCTAAAGCTCTGTTGTGTGTTTTTCCCCTCCCGTTGGCAGCGGCTCGGCAGGCTACTGCTTTGTGGAGCTGGCCGATGAAGCAAGTGTCGACCGCTGTGTCCAAAAACTCAACGGGAAACTGGTCCCTGGATCAAACCCGGTAAGTTCTCTGGTGCAGTTGCAAAAATAGTTAGTTATGTCTGTGTTTGTGCTCCTTACAATAATGTCTGCAATCATTGTTTCTCAATAAATATACAATTTATTGATCATTTAATGCCGCCTTCCTTTTTTTTCAGTGCTAGGTGTTATTGAACAGTGTTTGTTTTGATTTGACTGTGGATAGTGGAGCTCTACTAGCCTTGTTCTTGCTCTTATATCACACCCACAGCACAATTGGATGCTCTAAAGTCAGAATAGCAGACAAACTGAACTCTTGTTCCATACATTTGTAGTTTTCTGTTTGGCTGAAGTGACAGCAGCTTTACGAGGCGTAGAACAAACAAAGCGTCCCGACCCGAACGCGTGGGTCTCGAGTGGGGCGTGAAGTTGTGACCTTTTGGGAATGCTGCTGCCCCCTGGGGGCCGGCCAAACTACTGGGCTCCCCTGTTCACCGGCCTGTCTCTGCTGCTGAAGGGGGCTAAGAGGCTGCTTGTACATGAATGTACTTTGTTTGAAGCTGGAGAATAGAGTCTCTGGTAGGAACTAACTGAGGAAGGGGCTAAAGGCTGGTCTGTGTGGTGGAGGTATGTAAACCTAAATAACAATAACAATAACAATAACGCCACTCTCTATTTCCAGCAATATCAGTGCTATACTACACCTCATCTGTGTGTGAAGGTGGCTTAATGTGTGTGTACTCTGTCTTCTTCTGTGCAGCCCCGGAAATTTAAGCTAAACTATGCCACGTACGGGAAGCGACCAGAGGCAGGGTGAGAGGCCACGCACATCCCCTCACGTCCGCTGATGCTAATGAGTAAAGCCAGGTTACCTGGGGGAAACTCAGTGGAATGGATTTATGTAAAAAGTCTCCGAGTTAAATCTTGATCTGAGCCAGATAGGGAAATGGAGACTTTCACCCTAATGCTGATTTTTTCCCCCCGTATTTGTTCTCTTTTAGTTCGATTTGGTCACACGTTCCCCTAAAAAGTGAGCCGACAATCCACCAAACGATTCTTTTTTTTTAACATTCTTTATTTAAGATTATTATGAATCCAACACACATACATATGTATATTTATGCATGCACTTACATAAAGAAAAACAAAAACCAGACAAACAAACCAAAAAAAAAAAAGTGGGGGGGTCTCAGCAAACATTTAAGTCCATTTTGGCAATTGACATTTCTTTGAGAGGTTCTCATGGGCTCGCATGAAAGAGAAATGTACATATCCAGTGTGTTTCATTAAAAGAGAGAGACATATCCAGGGGACTAGCAGCTTTTTATAACACTTAGCATCTTTATCAGAGTGGCCATCCAAAGTGAGAAACACGAAACAATTCTTGAAGTTAATTATCTTATTTACACGTCCTATTTGTCCCATGATTGTGTTTAGATGAGACTCCAGGCTGCTCCCCCTCACACTCCCCCCCCCCCCCCTCCTCTCTCCTCAGGCCAGAGTTCTCGGTGTTTGTGGGCGACCTGGCCTCTGAGGTGGATGATTTCCAGCTCCATCAAGTCTTTAAGAAGTACACTTCCTGCAAAGGGGCCAAAGTAGTGACAGACCAGTACGGGTACTCCAGGTATGTGGGCTGTGGGGGGAGGCCTGTACGGCAGGGGCTGGTCCTGGAGGCGCTTTCAGCATCTGACTGTAAGCTTTCTGTGAGCAGAGCACTAGACTGTGACTTAGTCCAACCTTTTTGAAGTATCCTGTGTTCTATCCAGTGTCTTCTGTGGTGTAATGCTTGTTAGGATAGCCGTGTTATGGACTTTAACCACCAGTGCTTCTTCAATCTATTTTTCGAAAAAGGCTGAAGGAATGTTTTCTTGCCGTCTTATGCTAAAACTATTGTTTTCCCCATATAGGCTAAGCAAGAGCAACTCACAATTCAAGTGATGCTACCTCATGTTAAAAGTAAAACAGCAAGTTTCAGTTCTACCATAATAATACCCATTATATTCTCTTTCTCATTATAAGTGGCTATTACATGGCAAGTATGTGGGGCCCTGGTGGGGCAGACGGGGGGTAACTGTCTTCTGACTTTCAGAGGCTACGGCTTCGTCAAGTTCGGGGAGGAAAGTGAGCAGAAGAAGGCCATAGAGGAGTGCCAGGGCACGGTGCTGGGAGGGAAGCCCCTCAGGCTCAGCATCGCCGTGGCCAAGAGGTACGAGCCAGCCACAGAAAGCCCAAAGGCCCCAGGAAACCTGCACACACAGCTAGGGACGCCCCCACCCAGCTTTCTGATCCGGTCCCGGCCTATCAGAGCCTGTCCTAAAGTCTAAAGTTATCTATCTACTTACTTGGTTGTCAGACTCATGTTGAACAGGGATTCACTCTGATAACAACTTAATGGTTAGGACAGAGACCTGTGGGTTACAGATGCTAATGCTAATGGATGATTTATGGTTGTATAAAAAATCCATTAAAACCTTTATAAGCCAGAGAAAAAATCAAATCCCATCCCAACTGCAAGCTGTGAAAGCTATTTATGCACTATTGAACAAAGAGGGTCACATCTCTGGTCAAAAACCTCCAAAAGCGACACAAATGGAGCCTTTTTTGTTAGGTTGCATTCAAACTCTGGAGTCTGGAGCTAACGCTAATGCTAATGCTCGTGTGGGAAAACTGGATTTTTGGAAATATCGGCGGCTGATCCGATCCAGATATCGGATCAGTACCCCCCCGACAGCTTTAGGAATGCTGGTTAGCCTCCCCCATTTTGAATCCGTACCCAAACCCTGCAGCGGCCCCCCCCAGCCGGCAGCTGTCCTCTGACGTCTGTGGCCGTGGCGACAGGGGGCGGGGCCACTCCTCAGATGGCGCTCGGACAGAGCCCCGCCCTCTTTCCCCGCCAACTTTCTGACCTTTATTTTGGTTTCCACTTTCAGTCCCACCTGTGTGAAACAGGAGGCCTGTTTATGTGGGCGGGGCCAAAGGGCCGCCGTGGTTCCAGCTGCTCGAATTACATGTAGATCGAATAACCAACTCCTAGATTAGGGACGTCCCGATCCAGCTTTCTGATCCCGATCCAGATCCCGGCCTATCAGAGCCTGTACTAAAGTCTAAAGTTATTTGTCTACTTACTTAGCTGTCAGACTCATGTTGAACAGGGATTTACTCTGATATCAACTTAATGGTTAGGACACAGACATGTGGTTACAGATGCTAATGCTAAAGCTAACACCGGATTTGGAGTCTGGATCTGTGTTTTCTCCTGCCGGCCAATCAGATCCAGATGTCAGAACGGGACCAGCCTAGTTCTGACCCGTGTTTCTCCAGGAGTGAAGGGTCCAGTTAGGGTTCAGCTCATGTTGAACAGGGATTTACTCTGATAACAACTTAATGGTTAGGACACAGACCTGTGGGATACAGATGCTAATGCTAATGCTAATGTGGGATCGGACTACGTTCCAGTTCTTATTTCTTATCAAATCTTTGTCTTTTTTGTTGTTCTACAGCCAAAAGATGAGCAACTACCACGGGGCCCAGGGTCAGGGTTACCACGGCAACTACAACCAGGCCCAGCCCGGGTACTACGGCGGCCACCCGGGCGGCGGCCAGAGCGGCTACTACCCCCCGTGGGGGGGCTACGACCAGTACGGGGGCTACAACAACGGGGGCTACGGCGGGGGGGGCGGCTACAACAGCGGCTACAACTACAACTACGGGCCCTACGGGTACCCCCCCCCCGGCCCCATGATGCCCCCCCCGCCCATGGGCATGCCGCCCGCGCCCACAGACGGGTCCGGAGCCACCGAGGTGAGCCCCCCCGCTAGGGTAGCCATAACGATAGTTATACATATTCCATACTCCATACCACAACGATAGAAACAAAGAGCCCAAAGTTTAACTGGATTTTGACAAGTTAGTGTCTTTCAAACTGGTTATGGATGTTATCGTGGCCCACATTAATCACCTTAAACCCTGACCTTAACCCTAACCCTCCACCATAACCCTAATCCTAACCCTGACCCTAAACTTAACCCTAACCCTGACCCTAAATTTAACCCAGACCCTAATCCTAACCCTCACCCTAACCCTCCGTCCTTCATAATTATCAGAAATAAATATTTTCTGGTTAAACTTGTTTGGACTTATTGTACAAACCTATTTAACATCCACTATTTTAACATAATATTATGGATAGAGTTTAATTCAGAGTCATTTCACTATTTTTAAATTAATGTCTATATTGCCATGAAGCAATTAGGATTTTCTTGCTTGGGATCTTCCTATTGGTGACCTAATCAAAATGGCCGACTTGGACGTGGGCAGTCTGCAGCTATAGGTAGAGGTGTAGGTATTCCAGATGTTTCTGACGCTGCACATGTGTCCAGCAGGGCCAGCAGCAGTCCGAGCAGACGGAGGACGACAACGCAGAAGGTAAAACTGACCTCTGACCTCTGACCTGTCTGTGGGTGGTCTGGCTGTGTGTATCAGTGTGTGTCTGTGTGACTCTGTGTGTACCTGTGACTCTCTCTGTGTGTGACTCTTAATGTGTGTCTGTGTGTTACTCTGTTTGTGTGTATGTGTGTTCAGAGCCCTCTCTGTGTGT